TATTTCACTCAGCATGATGTTCTCCATTTCCATCCAGGTTGCTACAAATGATGAGAATTCCTTCTTTTTTATGGCAGCATAGTATTCCATTGTGTAGATGTACCAAAGTGTTTTGATCCAATCATCTGCTGATGGGCACCTAGGCTGTTTCCAAATTCTAGCTATTGTAGATTGTGCTGCTATGAACATAGGGGTGCATATATCCTTTCTGATTGGTGTTTCTAGTTTCTTGGGATATATTCCTAGGAGTGGGATTACTGGGTCAAATGGGAGTTCCATTTTCAGTTTTTTGAGGAAACTCCACACTGTTCTCCACAGTGGTTGCACCAGTCTGCATTCCCACCAGCAGTGCACGAGGGTTCCCTTTTCTCCACAACCTCGCCAACACCTGTCGTTTGTTGATCTGTTGATGTTGGCCATCCTGACAGGTGTGAGATGGTACCGCATTGTTGTTTTGATTTGCATCTCTCGGATAATTAGTGACTTTGAGCATGTTTTCATGTGCCTTTTGGCCTTCCTTCTGTCTTCTTTTGGAAATATTCTATTTAGGTCCATTGCCCATTTTTTAATTGGATCATTCATCTTCCTTTTATTTAGTTGTATAAGCTGTTTGTAGATGTTGGAGATTAAACCTTTATCAGTGGTAACATTTGCAAATATGTTCTCCCACATTGTGGGCTTTCTTGTTGTTTTGTTGATGGTTTCTTTTGCTGTAAGAAAGCTTTTTATTTTGATGTAGTCCCATTTGTTTATTTTCTCTTTAGCTTCCATTGCTGTAGGGGCAGTATCAGTGAAGAAGTTCTTTTGGCATATGTCTGAGATTTTGCTGCCCGTGGATGCTTCTAGTCTAATGCATTCTTTTGCTCTTGTTATCAAATTGATTATGATCTAGCTTGAGGAGTACGGTCTAATCATTCATTCATGCATTCATTAATCAGGTTTTGAGGATATCCTATCTAATAAAATAGTATAAAGATCATCACTCCAATACACAAGATGGCCGCCCCCATGTGATCAAAGATGGTTGCCCCCATGTGGAGACAAGATGGCCACTGCAAGATGGCTGGTGGGGGAGGGCAGTTGTGGATGATCAGGTCAGTAGGGGAGAGCAGTTGGGAAGAACCAGGCCTGCAAGAGTGGGGTGTGTGCAACCAGACCTGCAGGGGAGGGCCGTTGGGGGTGATCAGGCTGGCAAGAATGGGCAGTTAGGGGTGACCAGACTGGCAGGGGAGGGAAATTAGGGGTTACTGGGCCAGCAGGCGAAGGTAATTGAGGGCAACCAGGCCTGCAGGGAGTACAATTAGTGGTGAACAGACTGGCAGGAGAGGGCATTTCGGGGCAATTAGGCCAACAGGGGAGCAGTTAGGTATTGATTAGGCTGGCAGGGGCATGGTTAGGGGTTGATCAGGCTGGCAGGCAGAAGTAGTTAGTGGCAATCAGATAGGCAGGCAGGCAAGCGGTTGGGAGCCAGCAGTCCTGGATTATGAGAGGAATGTCCGACTGCCTGCCTAAATGGGCAGTCGGACATCCCTTGAGACATCCCAGATTGGAGAGGGTGCAGGCTGGGCTCAGGGATACTGCCCTGCCCCTCCCCTTAGCCTCCCATGCACAAATTTCATACACCAGGCCTCTAGTCTATATATATATAAAAGCTTAAGTGACCATTCTACCATTAGACTGTTTGACCAGTAGCTATGATGTGCACTGACCACTAGGGGGCAGATGAGCACCACACAAGCATAGAAACATGGAACAGACTGACAAATTTCAGAGGAAAGGAGAGAGGGGTGGGGGTGGGAAGAAGTTAACCAAAGATTTTATATGCATACTAGAAGCCTGGTGCATGGATCCATGCACCGGTGGGGTCCCTTGGACTGGCCTGTGGGGATTGGGCCAAAACCAGCTCTCTGAAATCCCCTGAGGGGTCCCAGATTGTGAGAGGGCACAGGCCAGGCTGTGGGACCCCATCGGTGCATGAATGCGTGCACCAGGCCTCTGGTAATATTTAACAGCTTTGCCTGGAAAAGCTAATATGAATAAATAATTAAAGACATTATAATTTAAAGGAGTTCTCTGTAGAGTTGCGTGGTAAAGGGGAGATATATCAGATGAGCTATGTGTAGAGCTTCTCTAGTGAACCCCCAGTTCTGTAGGTCTGAAGAATTTCTCTCTCTACCTGTAATCAGTTTTCAGCTTTTCAGTATACGTGTATTTCCATAATTACTCAGGGCTATTCTTTATTTTAAACCTACTCTTTAAGATTTCCTTGGCAAGGGGAAAGTTGATTTCAGTATTTATGTTTTTCTTTTATTTACTGATATTAAAGAAGATATTCAGGCAGAGCTGGCTTTTTCCCAGAATTTTCATGAGAACCTAGAAAAATCAACAAATTAAAAAATCGTAGAAATGGGAGATATATAATTGCTAAGGTTTTTAGAACTTTATAACAATTTTTGTGTAAAACGTGTCAAAATATTTTTAAGTCACAAAAGCATTAAGTTCTGGTATTATTGAATCATTTGATTTTTAATTCAAATGAAAGCAGACTTCTTCTCTTAGACTTAATTATAAATGGTATGTCAACCCTGGGAAGATGCTTGACCCTTTGCTTTTTGGTTGACGTGCAATCAGGAAGAATATTGGATCTTACAAGCTATGTGCTACTGCTCTCAGCCAATAAGTAAAGATCCTTTCTCCTAGTGTATGTGATGGCTTTTAAAGGTACTGTATGTAAGGGTTCACTAGTCATTTGGACTAATGAAGATGACTTTAAATAATTTTTAGCAATAAAATTTTTTATCTAGGTGAAGATTGAAAGCTTCCTTTCACACAGTTTACAGTTTCTAGTCTTCAGCTGACATGAAAGCACTGACTTTAACAGCTTCATAATAGAAACAAATACTCCATAAATTAGATAAAGGTCAAGTTGTTAGATCAGTATTACTGATGAATTCTTTTACACTGAAAAATTCCCAAGTTATGAAGTATCAATTCTAGCTTTAATTTTATCTGCCCTAAAATAATTTTCATGTCTTTCTTGAATTTTTCCTAAATTAACATTATATAAGGAAATACAGTATTCACAATTATAATACACCATATTTATATGCAACTTAACTTTTTATATGTCCATTTGCATCATATATATACACACATACACATACATATGCCAGTGTGTGTATACACAAACATGAGATAAAATAGTAATATTATATATATATATATGTATGTATACAGTATATATGTGTGTGTGTATGTGTGTGTGTGTGTGTGTTTGCAAATTGTTTTTGCTTAGAGTATATAATGAACATCTTATGAATCAATACATATATGTTTATCTTGGTCTTTTTTAATGATACATAGAGTTTCATTGCATTTTTATATTTTATTCCACCAGCCCTCTCTTGACATATTCTTATTTCAAGTTATTTTTTTGTTCAGTCACTGTTGCAACAGATATACATATATCTTTAAGCAGTAATGCTATTATATCATAAAAGGTTATATTCATAAAAGTGAATTGTTAGATTTAAGGATATATGTATTTTAATTTTAATAAGTACTGACTAATTCTTATAAAGAATATATTATGCTATGCTATATCTGTTTGTTTTTACAATTCATATAGGAAAATGTTTCTCTGAAAACTATTACTTAACCAAATTGGTTAAATGGGTATTGCTATATAATAACCCCATTTTTATTTATATACATATCTATAGTGCCTAATATATATATATATATATATATATGCAAAATTTTTAATTATGTCTACCCTAAGTCAAATTCAGTCATCAACAAAGAGATGTATTCACACAGCCTTTAACTGATAAGTAACTGTGTGTTCTAGTTGTCTAGCCATAAAATCCTAGCTCATAAAGAAGTCTAGTAGTAGTTTGTTGTTAGCAGGACTTCACCAGTCCACTCATGGGCCATTGTTTTATTTTTTAAAACCATCCTTGTTTATGGACTCAACAATCAACCACATTTTGGTTATATTTGCTGGTTGACAGTGCACAGAGGAAACATCCTGTCTGCGAATCTAAATCACAAAGTACTTCTCCCTTATCTTTTTTCTCTTTGAGGTCAAGCTCTATGTAGCCCAGATCATCCAAATTCATGGTTTTGTCTTTTCCTTTGAGTCTCACCATATGATTTCATTCAGTGCCATGGAAACCAGTTATATTTTATTTAAGAAAAAAATCTCACACCATTTATAACACTTGGTATGGTACCAAGAGTGATTTCCTGTTTAAAATTATGAGACACTGTTAATAGAAAAGTTTATAGAGGTTCACACCTCTCTTATCTTAAGCATTTTTTTTAATCCCAGAAGAAAAATGGTGTGAAATGTAAATAATATGTTTCTAGATCAGGTAGCAGAAATCCAACCAGAATGATATAACAGTACCCTATGGTTTAAAAGGAAACAGTCTAGAAGAAAGATGTTAGTGTTATTGTTAAAAGATTTTTCATATTAGTTTTCATGGTAATGGTGATGAAAACTTGTGTGTTAAATAATTCTGCTGCCCTCTTTTTAATTATATATATGTAGTTCTTATGTAATTTTTATAGTGTGTGTACATATACACCTAAGAATGCAGGTGTGTGTTATATGTATTCATATATTATATTTGTGTCTCATTCTTCTTTCACAAATGAGAAATACATTTATAAATACTTTGTGAGACATACTGATGGGAGAGAAGGCCAGAAATAATGTAAGAGAGAGGAAAAAGATAGTTCAAGCCAGGGTAGGAATTTATGTATATTTACCATTAGATACTAAAAAGCTATTCACAGGCACAGATTTTTTATAGTCTCTTAATGCCAGCTAAGTTTCACATACATTTCACTTCCTTCCTATAGTTCTTTTCTAACCAATTTATTGACATGAGGTCATCTCAAAGCATTTTGTTGAAAACATAAATGTGTATTTAATGTGTCACTGTGATGGCTTTCCCAGAATTCCTTCAGAGTGAGATTTCTTTGTTTTTCAGAATCTGCCTATGAAGAAGATTCCATGCAAAGCCAGTGCACCCTCAGGCTCCTTTTTTGCCAGAGACAATACAGCAAATTTCTTATCCTGGTGCCGAGATTTAGGGGTAGATGAAACATGTCTATTTGAATCGGAAGGTTTGGGTATGTATTGTCTTCAGAATTTTAACCATTTAAAAAGTACTGTAGTTGTTAGTATAATGACCAAAACTAACTTTTTTGTTTGATGTCATTTCAAAGATTAACTTTAAAAAAAAATCTGTAGTTTAGTGTAAATGAGTTTTGAAGGTAATAAAATGCACATCCTCTTACTATTGATTATCTTGGGAGTAAAGGATAGGAACATAAATAGCACAATTATTGTCAAAATAAGATCAAGGAAATACAGTGCAAAATTGGGGGAATATTTGAAAAAGGCAGGTTCAATTTTCCCACCAGGGTCTAACCTGCACTAGAAAGGAAGTAGCTAGGTATGTTCCAGGCATGGGAGCATGATTGTCATTTTGCTTCTCTAAATGTATAAAAGCATCATTTCCCATAAGTTCTCTTCGTGAAACTGGAGTTTGTTTATTTATTTATTTATTTAATTTGTTGAGATAAAAATCAGCCAAGTAAGTAAGATATTGGATTAAAGATGACAAAATAAAAAACAGATACCTTAGTTCCCAGACCAATCCAGATTATTATATTTTTTTTTGGTCTTATTTTGTTTTATGATTGAATTTCGCCAAATCCACTTCCAGGCCATAGAATGAGCTTTTGCATTTCCTCTGGACAAAATATAAAGTTTTTGGTGTTTCATCATTATGAAATGGAACTGAGTGAGGAAAGGAAACCTCTAGATGGGAAAAAGCTTTCCTTCTTTTGCCTGAAGCTTTAAAAAATCAATTCACAAAAACCACATAATACCAACTATCAACATCAAAGTAAGCTGAGCATCCTTCAGAGAGAACAAGTATACAAATTGCCTTCCCAACAGTCAGACTGCCCTAGCCCCAGGGCTCGCAAAGCAATATTCTCCTGTTGAACCTAGGAAATTGATGGCAACAGCTACCATGTTCGTTTTTTTGTTGTTGTTGTTTTTTTTTTTTTTGTACTTAAGGAAATTTGTATTTGTACTAGGAGGAATTGATGTGATATAGAAAAGATTATCATCAAATTTCTGAGAATTATCCCAGCAGAGAAGAAAAACACATTCATTTAGACTAGGAGAACATTTTATACCTGAAGAAAAAAAAATCAGTAACTGCACAACAGCATACTATGTTGGATAATGTGCTCCTTGAATGTTCATTATATGAATGGGCTCCGGCTGTGCTTACCATTTCCTTACATTAAAGTAAAACAAATTTGGTGGGAGATGTGTATGTATGTATATACCTCTTTTTCAGTCCAATATTAATTTTATAGGTAGATTTTAAGTTTAGGTTAATAGGGAAACTATGAGTAGAAAATTCTAAGAAAGGAAGGTGGAAGAATTATTTGTGAAAAAATATTCTTGAAAGATCTACTATGTGGCAAAAGTAGGTCTCAGTTGTTCCTATGGAAAATAATGCTATATTGAATAAACAATAATACAAGAATAAACTCAGTTTCATATACTCACAACTGTAAACCTACTTTTGCCCAACCCTTTATACAGCTATATAATCAAGTGTAGACAAATAACATCATGATTTAAAATTCTAGAGTGCCCCTAAATTACCAACAACTGACACAGAGGGAAACTGCTTTAGTATTAATTTATTCATTGTACATATTTTCATTAAAGAAGCCTTTTTCAGTGGCAACTATAGGCCAAGTGGATTACTAACTATGAAAGTAAATGTGATCTTGTCTCAATTTTTTCATTGCCCATGAGTTAGTTAAAGTAATAAAACTATTTTGTTAGTTAAACTAATAAAAAAAATTTTATTATTTAAACAACTAAAACTTTTAGTTGGAATCCAAGAAGAGTCAATCTAATAATAAATTTTCTCTGGAATTTATATCACCATAGCCCAAGTTCCTAATGAGAATTGAATGAATATTGTTTACCTTGATGGCTTTTTAAAACCCTATTGAGATAATGACTAATATATTTTACCTTGAAACAATCAAGCCTAATGAAACATATGTAATAATGGTTGTAGTATATAAATAAGTATTCTGCAGCATATACAATTATATAAAGAAGAATTTTGAGATGGCCTAGTTTTTCACCCTGTTTGAAAAAAAAAAATGACCATGAGAACTTAAATATAATAACTGTCAAGTGTTTTGCTAAAATATCTTTGATTTTTTATTACCTTCTATATTATAATTTTGCTTATACCTTGCAATTAAAATGCATTATCATATCCATGGAAGTTTAATAAGACCAAGTTTTCAAGCTATAAAATTTAAAAATAATTTTTAATTGTTTAAGTAGCAAATCAAAGAAAACAGGCATTCTAGTTGGCTGCTTAATGAAAAGGTAAATTTGAACTTTCTGCAGTTCAGAATGGGACATGGGGCGATATATAATAGGCCCCCGGGAGCTGAAAGAAGAGAGCCAATAATACAGCATTGACTTTAGGATTACTCAGAGAAAGGAAACAGCTGTGCCCATAGATGTTCAAGATAATCAAGAGGAAGGGCAACGAAATTCCATTTCCCCAAGTGGAACCCTTTCTCCTTGGATTTTTATTATTCACTGTAGGTGAGGAAGTGATTGGGCCTCCACTGATGGCTTTGGACTCTGTGCTCGCAGAATTGACTTTCCTGCAACAATAACGCTGTGTACTCTGCTTGATGTCTTTTCACACTTCACTTTTGAAAGGGAATTTAGGGCAAGGATTTTTTTCCTTTCTTTCTACCTCAAGATTTCATTTCAGTAGCACAGGAGATGAAGAGCACCCTTTGTGCCACAGTGTTTTGAATAGCAAATAAAATGAAAAGATGCCCTGATGAAGGGGAAAATCTGTTTGAATGAATGATAAAGTAGATCACTGTACTGAGTGTGTATCAAGAGGCTTCTGTCTTTAGCTGTTCAAAGGTCTTTGCCTGCATAAAGCATCCTTATCTTCCCGGCAACTGATATGCTACCCTCTGTTGCAGTGCTTTTTGTACAATTATTTTGTGAGAGGATCTTGATTCACAACTCACTCAATCTGTTCCATTTCCACAACAGCTAATGACAAGAAATCTCAGTGGGTGGGAAGATGTGCCAGGGGTGAACAGGGGAGTATGGACAGTAACTGATGCCATATGCTCCTCTCATGCTTCTTGTCTTTTAAATTCTTGGCAGATACATTTCTATGCCACATGATACAATCACCTACAGAGTGTAGCCTGCAATTTATTTTCTATGACATTCTTGATAATTTTTCCTCTGTGAAATGTCAGTTCTTAGATCATAAGTTCATTACTGTACCGAAGCCAATAAAAAGATAGACAAAGGTCTTGAAAAGTCTATTTATAAAAGATTTATAAAAATACAATAAAAGTATAAAATGTTAGTAATAATGTAAATGCGATTAAAACTATGAACATTAGCAAAGATTGAGACAATTGTATGTTTAATGTTGAGAATATAGGAAAATAGGATATTCTGTAGATTACTGCAGGAGATTGGAAATTGATATCTCTCCTTTAGAGGGCAATTTGACATTATCTATCAGAGACCTGAGAAGTATTCTTGTCCTCTTATCAGGTTGTTCTACTTCTAAAAGTTTATCCAATGGAAATAAGTGGAGGAAGGCATCAGAATGTCCACTGAAACATTTTTGTAATAGTAAAAAAAATATGAAAATGAATTGAATCTATGACATATGGTGATAGTTTAAACAAATTACAGCCATCCAGAGATACCAACAAAAGATATCTTTGAGACTTTAAGTATATGGGTAACTTATGACATACTCTGAAACATGAAGTCACACATTTATATCTAGTAAATAATAAGAAAATATATTTAGAATTTGAAAGAAAGATGAACAGTAGTTGGGTTATAAATAATCTCATTTTATCTTTCAACTATCTATTAACTAGGCAGTAAAATGATATGGCATATAATCTGAAACATGAACAATTAATTTTGTGTTAAGATATAGTGTAACCAATTTGCATAGAGAAGTATTTATGGACATAAAAATTTATACATCAGTAAAAGAGCTGTTTTGTATCATTGAGGTTTCAAGTGATTATAGAATTTTATACTGCTATGGGAACAGATGAGATAAATCTTTGTGAATTCTGTGAAGCATATGTTAGTCTTAAGATTTTACATATAATGCTCATTGACAACTCCAATTTCTCAAACCATGGTGACACAAAAGTAACTAGAGGAGATTTTATTTTTAATGTTTCTGATTTATTAATAAATCAGTTTCATTGGATTCCTTAAAACTAGGATATGCTTTAAGCTAAAAAAGATTAACATGCAATGTTTTTTTTTAAATTAAAAAGTATGTAGACTTTTAAATAAAAAAGTCTATTGGTCTAAAAATAAAATATTATACTCCCCTAATAATTATTTTAAAAGAAATGAACTTTAATGTAGAATAAAGGGAAAAAATGTTTAGAAAGCTCTAGTTATAAAAGCATTTTCTGTTTTCAGTTTGCAAGAGATGTAAAATTCCTTAAACTGTATTAATAATTATTCTTCCTAACAGTAAGTGTAATAATTTTGCGAAGATTAAATACTTGGACTACCATTTCTAAAATAGTGATAAATATTTTGATGTGGCTCATTTCTTATGATTTAAATTAAGACCCCAAAATATATGATTTATTTTCAGTTGTGTTTTGAGGGGTAAAGGAAGGAATGGGATACATCTATAATACTGTCAACAATAAATAAATAATAAATAATAAATAATAAATAGCTTCTTTAAAAGTTACTCCTAAAATTGATATTCATATGTGATTTTTTAAAGATATTTTAAGTAAGAAGCTAGTTAAATTGGTCATATTCTTATGTGGGAAATTTCTTTTTTATAATTTCCCTTAGCACATAAATTAGAAATGTCATGTTAGTTTAATTTTTCCCGGAGACCTGTTTATTCTGTGTTATTTGTATGCATTCCAATAACGTGGGAAATGGGGCGGGGGGAAAGGATGGGAGGAAATTCTTTTAAAGTGCACAGTTTTTTGCTTTCTATAATTGTGTCAATATCATTATG